CTATATCACATATTATCGGGACTGGCCTTGTGGCTCTTGTTCTAGTGGCTGGACTATTAGTGCCGCCGTGGGTTACTCTTGTTTAGTTTGTCCTCTTGCTGACTGGTCTTCGGACCCTTGCCTCAGAGGTTGGACTAGTAGTGCCACCCTGAGCTGCGTGTCTCTTGCCATGCACTGCACCTCATCTCGCTTAGGGGGTGTGTCAAACACATTTGTATATGTTACTATAGGCTAGATAGGAGCATGCTCTTAGAGGGTATAACACACTAGTACAAACCCACCTTGAATCACTCATTCTAGTCATTTGTTAACTCTAAGACCCAGCTCGCCAGCTGCCCGCTGCTCGCCGACTCTAGCTTTAGCCCTAGCTCGCCGGCCCTCGCTCGCTGGCCCTGCTCACCGACCCCTGCTCGCCGTCCCTAGCTCGCCGGCCCCAACTCACGCCAACCGCGGCTCGCCGGCCGCAACTCGCGCCAATCCCGGCTCGCCGGCCCCAGCTCGTCGACCCCAGTTCGTGCCGGCCCCAGCTTGCCGGCCCCTATTCGCCGACCCCTGCTCACCGGCCCAAGCCCACTGGCCCCTGCTCGCCAGCCCCAGCCCGCTGGCCCCAGCTCTCGTCGACCTCAGCTCCCGCCGGCCCCAGCTCCCGCTGGCCCCCAGCTCGCGCTGCCTCCTGCTCGTCGGCCCCCGCTCATCTCGCGTCCGCTCCTTGCTCGCCGCCGGCCCGCATCCGGCGCCCGCGTGCCGCGCTGCCTGGTTCACCGCCGGCGCCGGTTGCCGCAGTGCCCCTGCTGACGGCCCCCTCTTTTCCCCGCCGGCCCTAGTTCCACTCTGCGCCGGCTCTTCCGCCAGCTTTCTTCTCTGCCGCAGCTTCACCGCTCTCCACTGCTCTCCACCTCTCTCCATGTCTCTCCACCACTCTTCACCACTCTCCATAGCCCCTACCTGTCTCCTACTCCTCCTCCTCTAGCGCCTGTCAGCCGCTGCGGCTGTGGTGATGGCGGACGCTGTGCTCCGCCTGGACGCGGAGGGTTGGGGGCCGACTTTGAGGCGTGGCTCGCTGACCTCCGCCGCCAGCTGAAGGGTCAGCGCGAGGATGGCTAGTCCCTGGTCGTCCACAATGACGGTAAGCTCCCCTGCCCTGACCCGCTTGCTACCCTCCCTGACGCCCCCACGCTTGCTGAGCGTGAGGCTTTTACAGCTGCTGATCTCGCCCGCTCTGTCTAGGAGTCGCACGATGCTGTCGCGCAGCTTGCTATAAGTCACGCCCTCACCGTGTCCGAGCGTTCCCACTTTCAGGTTGTAGAGACTGCGAAGGAGTACCTAGATGTCGCCATTGCGCACTATTCCTTTCCCTCCTCTGCCTCTGGTGTCTGCCTTCTTCTGCCCCTGCTCTTCCTTGATCTTGTGTCCTTCCCCAAGGTCGCTGATCTTGCCACTCATCTGTGCGCACTTGAGTCTAGCTACCACGCTGCTAGCACTGAGGCCCAGCTCACTGTACTCGCCACTGCCCGGAGGCCTTCCTTAGTCTCCACCCGCTGACCTAACCCTCAACGATTTCCTCACCACCCTGGCCGCGATAGAGAGCCGCCAGCGCACTAACGCTCAGTCTAGCGTACCTGCGGAGGTTCCTATCTTTCAAGGCTGTGCTCCTTCCCAGTGCACTTTCTGTGACGTCTCTGCCACTGTTGCTGAGACAGCCCCTGCCACTGAGTCCACCGCAGCGGTCTCAGCGCAACCTTGTCAGGGTAAGGGCCGCCGCCCCAAAGGGAGGGGTGGCGGGAGTGGTGGCGGGAGTGGCGGGGGTGGCGGAGGTGGTGGAGGTGGTACGAGTGCCGTGGTACAAACGAGGGGGTCAGGGCTGATGCCCGGGTGTAGCAGCAGGAGCAGCAGTAGCTGCCCCAGCAGCAGCAGTAGCCGTGGGGACCCCTGCCGCTGTGGTGGCCTGGCGGCTTTGGTGGCGGCGATCGCGGTGGTGGCTCTCGCGGCTCGACGTTCGGTGCCAGCTCCAGCCTTGTGATTTGCCAGTACCAGCTCCAGACTGGTCCCGTCTGTGGCACCATGTGTAACTGTCGTACTGGTCACACCTACCGTTGTCTCGACGACCTCTTCCGTCTCCGCTTCTGCCCCGGGCTAGACCTCCCAGTTTGGCCCAGCTCGGTACGTTGTCGCGTGAATGTCTTTGAGATGGATATGGATCAGATTCACTCTGCTTGGTACACCATGTATGCTGATGATTCTAGAGTGACTGGACCGTATTACCCTGTGTTGCCTAGCGTAGATGTACCCACTGTGTGTAGTCTAGGCTCCCCTGCTGCATCAGGAGTAGGATCTCCTGCCTTAATTAGCATAGGCCTCACGCTATTGCCCCCACCGGCTGACGTTGCCGCCACGCTCTGCTTCACGCTAGAATCTGGTGCTCCCCTCACCACGTTCCCCCGGGACTCGGTATCCGGCCTCTTCACCCTAGACACCGCGTCCCCTCCGATAGAGGCGTCCCCCCAGGTGGCTGCGTCTACCCAGGTCGCTCCGGCTTGCCCGTATCGGTCCCTCACTCACCCGTCACTTCTGTGGCACCACCGCCTAGGTCAACCCACCCTCCCACGTCTGCGTCACATGTCCCCGCACGGTCTTCTCCTGTGTTTCCTCCATCTGACTCGTCCTCGGCGTGTTTCCCCCCCTCATTCTCCTCCTGTGTCTCCTCCGTTGTCTCTTGACCCTACACCCCCCTCTAGCTGGTGGTCTCACCGCCCCTCTCGTGCTTGCCCCGCCTCTTCCGCTCCGAGTGTTCACCCTATGTCGCCCCGTTCTCACGCATCTCGTGCTCCTCCTACTCCTCTTCTCCCGTCGCCTTCTCAGTCGTCCCTTGCTGTCTCCCTGCCTCCTATTTCTGACTTCCTCCGTGTTGCTCGCCCTCTAGTTCCCCGTGTTCTCACCTCCCTTATTACCAACCCGTCCGTTCCTGTCTCCAGTCTCGACGCTCTTGTCGCTGCCATTATTGACTTTGCCTCTACCTGCCGCCTTGACTACGCCACTGCTCTGGTCTCTGACCCTGCCGGTCCTCCGTCCGCCGGGGGTGCACCTGCCCTTGGCAGTGACGTCCTAGAGGACAGGCAATACGAGCTAGCTTTCCTATCCAAGGCCGCTCCTCATCTCTGCTCCATGTTGCTAGCCCGTGAGGGTGACCCAGCTGCTCTTCATATCTTGACACCTCGCACCTATGCTGAGGCGAGCTCAGGACACTGTGCCTCTAAGTGGATAGCTCCCATGGACACAAAGACGGCATCTTGGAGATCCACCGGCACCTATGTCGACGCAGTTCCCCCACCTGGGGCGATTGTAGTTGAAGGCAGGTGGCTTTTCAACGTGAAGCGCCCTCTTGGACAGCCGCCGGTGTTCAAGACGCGCTAATTTGCTAGAGGCTTCACTCAGCGCGAGAGTGTTGATATCTTTCAAACCCTCGCCTCGACCTCGAAGATGACCACTCTTCAGGCGTTGTTTCACGTAGCAACACAGCGCGACTACGAGCTGCACTTTCTCGACTTCTCTACAACGTTTCTCCAGGGCAGTCTGCACGAGCAGATCTACCTGCGCCGCGCGCCAGGCTTCTGTGACACTTTCTCTCCTAGGAGTGAGTGGTTCCTTCGGCGCCCGGTTTACTATTTGCGGCAGGCGCCCCGGGAGTGGCACGATACGTTATGTGCTACGTTAGCAGACCTGCAGTTCTTTCCATCCTCTGGTGACCCTTCGCTCTTCGTTCGCTCAGGCCAGACTCTGTTCTACATCCTAGTCTACGTTGATGACCTGGTCTTTGCTACTGCAGACCGAGACGCACTGGCCTCGGTGAAGGTCAGGCTGCTGAAGAGACCCACCAGCACCGACCTAGGAGAGTTGCGCCGCTACCTTGGGCTGCAGATCTCCAGGGACAGAGCAGCGCGCACCATTGCACACAGTCACACTTGATGTGCTAGGTCCTTTAGAGGTTCGGTCATTAGTTCTCCTCCGCACAGCCTACACCTGCCAGTAGATCACAGGCTCTCGGCTCCAGTCCCTGATAATCGGTTGAGCCTAGTGGTCCGTATGCAGAGCTTGTGGGCTGCCTCATGTACCTGATGACTTGCACTCATCCATATCTCGCATACCCTCTTAGTATCCTGGCACGCTTTGTGGCGACAGGCAGACACCGACCCGAGCACTGGTCGGTTGCTAAGAGGATTTTGCACTATCTATCAAGTACATCAGGCAAGGGGCTTGTGCTAGGAGGATTCAGGATAGTGGTTCTCACAGGGCACACAAATGGTTCTTGGGCGGACGATGCCGAGACTCTCAGGTCCTCCCATGCTACTGCTTTAGCTTTGGTGCAGGTGCCATCTTGTAGATGTCCACCCGCTCGTCGTCTGTTGCCTAGTCCAACTGTGAGACTGACATCTATGCGGGTGCCAAGGCGCCACAGGAGCTCCGCTGGCTGACGTTCTTGCTCACCGACTTAGGTGAACTGCCCAGCTCTGCACCGGTCCTATACGCTGACAACATGGCCATGATCCTCCTGTGTCAGGAGCCTCGACTAGAGGGTAGAGCAAAGCAGATCCAGCTGCGTTACGTCCTCCTGCGTGAGCTACAGCAGAGCCGCCAGGCCCACGTTGTACACTTGGCCTTCGGCGCTTGCACCTAAAGATCATCAGCGGCACTGTGCACAGCTTGGTCTAGTTCTAGTTGCTCCTCACTTGCTAGGGCCCTGATTGTGTACTACTCCCTATATTATCTTGACTGGCCTTGTGGCTCTTGTTCTAGTGGCTAGACTAGTAGTGCCGCCCTGGGTTACTCTCGTTTAGTTTGTACTCTTGCTGACTGGTCGTCAGACCCTTGCCTCAGAGGTTGGACTAGTTGGGCCGCCCTGAGCTGCGTGACTCTTGCTAGGCACTGCCTCTTGTCTATCCTAGGGGTGTGTCAACTTCTATATGTGTAGTTATAGGCTAGATAGATGCGTACTCTTAGAGAGTACAACACACAAGTATAACAACACCCAGTAGGCCCTTACCTGCCCAATTTGCTATTCTAAGGCTGTGTGACTATACCTATACCAATAATAAGCTTGTGGCTTGGCAGCGGTGCCTTTATTTCCTTCTAAAAACGGCATACACATACCAGGTTCAAGAGTACCTCGCGAGAGACACCACCTCGTTATTTTTCTTTCTCTAAACTATGGTGAACAGCATCGTGCTGCCGATTCTGCACTGTGCTGTCCACTACCTAAAGCTGCCTACAAAATGAATAGGAATCCGAGGATTGCACATGCCGCTGCTTTGCCTAGGATTGGACCAGAGCGGGTAGCCGGCTTCCCCTGCGCACAACAGACAGATGAGGCAATGAGAAAACATGGCAATGGATCTGGGGGTTGCGGTACAGTGCAGCAACAACAGCAACAGCATTGTACCTGAAACCCGGAGTAAACATATCATGCGTGTACGGGAGTGGCTTGGATGTGTGCATGTGAGAAGCGAATGTGCGTAGAAAACAAAAGGAAACGGGGAGAGTTGAATGTCAGGGCAGGGCACGGGGGCGATACGCACCTGTTTCTTGCTGATGAAGAAGGAGATGCTGTATGACGAGGCACTCGCAGCAGCAGTAGCAGAGGCAGCAACAGGGGCAGCAGGGGGATGATGGTGGTGGTGAGGGGAGCGATTGGTCAGCAGGTGCGAAGGTCAGATATGATACGCACCTGTTCCTTGCTGATGAAAAACGAGATGTCGTATGACGAGGCACTAGCAGCAGCAGCAGGGGCAGCAGTAGCAGCAGCAGCCAGCAGCAACAGCAGCACCGGGGGCAGCAGGGGGGATGATGGTGGCATTGAGGGTGAGCGACTGGTCGGCAGGTGCGCTCATGGAGAGAGCAGGGAAGGCGGTGGGCGTGGCTGTCTGCACTGTCTTGCTGTTGAATGGGGTGCTTGCGAGAGCGGCCTGAGTGAGCAGGGTGGTTGGGAAAACTAGCCCGAATCCGACTGCCTGGAGATAGGGGAGAGTGATGGAGGATGTGGGGCAGTGAAACGGTAGGTAAGACAGATTGTAGAGAGAAAAGAAGGGACGTGAGACGGGAGGTTTGCAGAGGGGAAAATGTAGGCAGGGATTGAGAGGGTTTCATGTGAAAATAAGGGGATAGGGGAAGCTGCATGCAACTAGAAAACTAGGCGTGAGAGATGTCAATGCTGCACTTGAAGCGGGCCTTTTTCTGCATAGATGGTTTGATTCTCGAGTCTCACCTTGCCGTTTTCCCCAGCAATGAAAGGCGTGGGTTCAATGGCTCAAGCGAGTGAGTTGTCCCCTATGGTTTACTCTATTACGAAGCAAGAGAGTTAACTCCGGTTGTGAGTCTCACCTTGCCGTTGTCGCCTGCAATGAAGGGCACAGCGTCAAAGGCCCCGGGAAGAGGTGCAGGTGCCTTGGATGGCACGAGAATGTACCCGATTCCCTTCATGCCCCTGGTGGTATCGAATGACGCACAATGATGCATGCACTCACATGCACACACATGCACACACATGCACACACATGCACACACATGCACACACATGCACACACATGCACACACATGCACACATATGCACACACATGCACACATATGCACACACATGCACACATATGCACACACATGCACACATATGCACACACATGCACACATATGCACACACATGCACACATGCACACATATGCACACACATGCACACATGCACACACATGCACACGCATGCACACATGCACACACATGCGAAAAAGCAGGCAACAGAAAGGAAGCTTTTTAGAGATGCGAAAGTGGAAAGCATTCAGCTCTTGATTGTAGACGTCCTGAATCGTTTCAACTGGTCCTGAATCGTTTCAACTGGTCCTGAATCGTTTCAACTGGTCCTGCTAGGGCTCGGATATAACTGGTCTCCTGTTCAGGTTCACGTTTCAGGTTTCGCTGACTGAAAGCACGACGTATACTCACAGAGGGTTGACAGGGATGGACGGAATTCGCATAGTCGACCCTGCAGCGTGCCACACAAACATTTCCATGCCCCAATTGCACTTCAACAACACTCAACGACACAGACAGCATCGTTACTCACAGGGGGTCGACAGGCACTGATGGGAGGCGCATGGTGGACTCTGCAGGCTGCCGCACAAACATCTCAGTGTAAGGATACCCCAAGGCCGGGCCCCCACCGTTCACCGCCGTTCACCGCCGGCAGGCAGGTCAACGGGAAGCGTTGGTATGCACAGGGGTAGAGCGAATACTCACAGAGGGTTGACAGGCACGGACGGAATTCGCATGGTTGACCCCGCAGGCTGCCGCACAAACATCTCTGTGTACAGATACCCCATGGCCGGGCCCCCACCGTTCACCACCGGCGGTTTCCCCAACGCCTGCTCCACTGACACGTCAGCATCAGGTGACGTGGAGCAGATGTAACCGCGAAGCTTCTCATTGTCGGTTTCTGTGCACGTGCTGCCGATCTGGCTGGCCGTTGACTCGTCGAGGAGGGAGAAGGTGAGGTAGACGTAGCAGGAGAGGCACAAGTCCGGGCCGGAGGCGAGGTAGGTGGGAATGGCCTGCTCTGGAGTAGGATTGGATGCGTTGTCTGAATTAAAGGGGGGGAGGGGCCGGGGGGTGGGGGGAAAAAGCAACGGGGTCCCCGGGGGTGAAAAGGGAGGTGGAGGGGAGGGTAGTGCAAGTTTGGCGTGGAACTTCCATGTGAGTGAGGAAAGAGTGAGGAAAGGGTGAGGAAAGATTGAGGAGAGCCATGTGCTGCAGGTAGACAAACGCCAGGTAGGAGAAAACTAGGAGGAGGAGGGTAGGGCAAACGTGGCCAGTACCGTGGGAGAGAGAAGGAATCTGAGGCATGCGGACTTACAGATAGGGTAGCACGAGGAAGGGGCGAAGGTCATCTTGATGTGCTTGATGTCCGTGAGAGAGGAGAAGTCTGCATGCAGAGGCCATAAAGAGGGGTGGTGGCATTGGCAAAAGTAGGGAGGAAGGACTAAAGGTCAACTTGATGTGCTTGATGTCGGTGAGAGACGAGAAGTCTGCTTGCAAAGGCCAAAACGTAAAAGAGGCAATGGTGGCATTAGCAGAAGAAGGGAGGACGGGCTGAAGGTCATCTTGATGTGCTTGACGTCCGTGAGGGAGGAGAGGTCTGCATGAGAGAGAGAGGGGTGATGATGGTACCAGCATTGGCAAACGGCAGCATGATCTTCATGTGTGGTCATGGATAGCAAAACCGCTTTCTGTATGTTTGGAAATAACACTCCGAGTGTTCGTCTCGGATTACAACACGTCTTCGGGCTTGTCAGGCATTGGAGTACTGACACTGACATCTGGGTTTCATAAACAGCACTCACTTGACATCCGGGTTCCATCAATCATTGCACTCACCGGACGCCAGCGTGTGCGTTTCTATGACCAACTTGAGCGTGTCAAAAGGTAGCGGACCCGCAGCTTCTAAGTACTGACACTTAGCGGTCGTCAAGATTCTTAGCACTTACCAGATGGCAGGGTGTACGACTCGTACACATAGAGTCGGACTCTATGTCCAATGCCTTCTCGAGCGTGTCAAATAGTTGAAGTACTGACACTTAGCAGGCGTCTGTTGACTCACCGGAGGGTAGGCTGTACGATTCTATGACCAATTCCTGCTTGGGCGTAGCCGCTTGAGTCCAGTCCGGCAAGTACGCCTGCACCAATACAGAGTATTGAGGAAAGGGAGCGTGGGTGTTAATTACTGATCGAGATCATGGGTCGAAGTCTAGGCTCTTATGGTAGAAAACGCGTGTCAGAGATAAGGGATGCTAGTAATGGCGTGGCTGGTACAGAACTTCGTGACGTGGCACGAACCTGAACGCTAATCTGGTTGCGCTTGGGCCCCACGACGATGCGCAAGTCGCCCTGAAAGAAGTCGCTGTGGAACGTCGCATTCATCGTCGCACCACTCGTGCTCCCCGGCGCGTTTGTCGCCGACATAATAGGGTTCGGAGAGGTGGTTGTGTTTGGAGTGGCAGCGGTGGTGTTTGGAGTGGCAGTGGTGGTGTTTGGAGTGGCAGTGGTGGTGTTTGGAGTGGCAGTGGTGGTGTTTGGAGTGGTGGTGGTGTTTGGAGTGGTGGTGGTGTTTGGAGTGGCAGTGGTGGCGTTTGGAGTGGTGGTGGTGTTTGGAGTGGCAGTGGTGGCGTTTGGAGTGGTGGTGGTGTTTGGAGTGGTGGTGGCATTGGGAGTAATTGTCGTGTTTCTCTGCTGAGCGGCCCGGCACCTGCAAAGAGTAATCCAACACGAAGGAGAATGAGGTTGAAAGCAACGACGCGTCTCGCTCGCGAGTCGCAACTCGCTCTGGAGCGTCGCGTTTTAGGAGTCTAGTTTTGAGGCGCCTCAAAACCGGCACCTGCAACGAGCGATCCAACAGAAAGGAGAACGAGGTGGAGAGCATCGACGCGCCTCGCTTGCTCGCGACCCCGAATTTGTCGCTTCGGAGCGTCGCGTTTAGTAAATGAATTGAACCTTGCAACTTCACTCTGGGAGTCAATTGATCGCAAAGGAGCATATGCATCGGAAATTATTATAATCGTCGAGCATATGAGTCATACCCGGACGGAAGCAGTGCGGCCATGGCGGCGATAAGAAGGACCAAGACAACGCCTGAAGACGCGGCGAGCTTCTTCGACGCCATTATGCTGGGTACTGCTGCTAAGAATAATGCTCGTGTTGCAAGGTTGTGCGTTTAGCTACTATTGCTAACAATATTGCTCGTGCTGCTAGATCGTGCGAGTTGCGAAGTACTGCTAGAGCTATATTGCTCGAAGCAGGCACCGGGAACAATTTTGGGACGCAGTGTGAATGCTCGTGTGCGATAAATGGAGGCAGAGAACCAACCTATTTATAGCACAGGCGGACGGACAGCCACGATTCGCGCGGCGCTCCGAGACGAGCTGGGCTGGGCTGAGCTCGAAGCTCTGGGAGTGTATCCCAAGCGAGTGCCAGAGGCAGTGCCCCGTGTTTCCTGTCACAGAATGACAACGATCAGAAATCGAGGGAGGAGGATGATCGCAGGACACACAAAAATCGAGGGGGTGCATAAGGGCGGGTCTAAATAGTACACACTCTATTCATTTGGTAAAAAGTAACCCGATTTTAACCTCGCACTGATTTCGCGAGGACAGGTGCGCGAATTTGATGTAACTCAGGACGGTCGACGCATGTGAAGGTACATGTACCCCAGTCTAGATCCGTTTACAATTCGGGTACGGTAGGTGTGTGAATGGCGGCGGGGTGGACACGAGTGGTAATTTAAGGTTTCGTCAAGGCGGGCTTGACGAGAAGAAGGCGAATTGACGTAAACTTCGCGTGGCGCAACGCCAAATCGTAAATTCCAACCAGCCCAGCACGAAACATCTGTCTCGCATTTGGTAACTGCGATTTGGGGCGTCTGAGGCGAACGGTTTTATTGCGACGCACCCAGTTGGGGCCAGCCTCTATTTTTGTTCGCAATGTGGGACGCAGTTTTGGGGGGAAACGATTTCGGGATCGTTTCCATTTTTTTCCGTAAAAAAATCGTCCAAAATCCCCAATCGAACTATTTGGACCCGTCCTAGCTGTACCCATCGCCACAGCAATAATTGGCGTGCTGTGTTTCCATTGCCACAGTGGTGGTAGGCTCTAGAGAATTGCCGTGCGGCTGATGCGCTGCTTTGTCCCCACACCCAGAATCTTGTCCCGATGCAATTCTCTGTCCCAATGGAAGGGTGCAATAATTTTGCTGATGGGATCAGGAATTGAATCGCGCATGCCTTGAGAGAACGCGGCTCGCTGCTAGGAAGCAGTAAAACCCGTTATTGAATCGAAGTTAAAGGTACAGCACCTTGGTGGGTACACTATTCATTTAACCGGCAATCTAACTGCCGCATCTTTCAAGCTTTAGGGTCTACCTCTTGAAAATATATTCATAAAAGCTTCCCTACAAATGGATTCCAGCACTTTCGTTTTCCCCAACATCTTGAATGGAAATTTAAACCGCTCACAAATCTACAAAAGAGACAAGAGAGCAAGGTATGCAAATATCACCGCCATCAGAGATGCACTGCAGCAGCGAGCAGAAGCCTTGACCTGCAAGTAGTCAGAGAACCATGCGCGCAGACATTTATACAGGCTCAACACCGACCATCAATGTCTAAACACCTAAGGCCGGTAATGACATAAAAACAAGAACCGAAATGGTCTTATCAGCTAAAGTTGCATACCACATCCTTGCTGATGTAGAAAGAGACATCGTAGTAGGCGTCGCTAGCAGCAGCAGCAGCACCGGGGGCAGCAGGGGGGATGATGGTGGCATTGAGGGTGAGCGACTGGTTGGCAGGTGCACTCATGGAGAGAGCAGGGAAGGCAGTGGGCGTGGCTGTCTGCACTGTCTTGCTGTTGAATGGGCTGCTTGCGAGAGATGCCTGAGTAAGGAGAGTTATCGGGAAAACTAGCCCCACACCAACGGCCTGAGGATGGAGGAAAGAGGACAACACAGGGCATTGATTGGTGTGAAATCTTGGCAAAAAACAAGAGGGTGTTATGTGAAACGAAGGAGGTGGGATAAGATACCTGCAGCACAAACAGTAAAGACCAAGAGATGTCAATGTAGCACTTGCAGTCAACCATGTTTCGACATAGCATGCTTTAAGTTCTCGAGTCTCACCTTGCTGTCGTTGCCTGCAATGAAGGGCATGGCGTCAAAGGCACCAGGGAGAGGCGCAGGTCCCTTGGATGGCACGAGAATGTACCCGATCCCCTTCATGGCCCTGGTGGTGCGCGGGCATACAGACACGAAGACATACAAACACATACAAACACATACAAACAACCAAGACACACACACACATGCCCAAACACGAGGGGAACTCTGAACCAGGCCCATGAAAAAAGTACGGCAGATTACACGAATCAAGGAATGGAGGATCTTAAAAAGGAGTTTGATGGCCGATATGATACTTACAGAGGATCCACAGGCACTGACGGAAGGCGCATAGTTGACCCCGCGGGCTGCCTCACAAACAGTTCAGCGTATAGAAAGCCGGCCGCTGGCCCCCCCCCGTTCACCACTGGCAGTTTTCCAAACGCCTGCGTCACTGACACGTCGGCATCAGGTGACGTGGAGCAGATGTAACCGCGCTGCTTCCCGTTGTCTGTCTCTGTGCACGTGCTGCCGATCTGGCTGGCCGTGGTCACGTCGAGGAGGGAGAAGGTGAGGTAGACGTAGCAGGAGAGGCACAAGTCAGGGCCCGAGGCGAGGTAGGCGGGTACAGCCTGCTCTGGAGTAAAGTTTGTGCTGTTGTCTGCAGGGGGGAGATGGAGCGGGAATAGGGAGGGGAGGTGGGGAGAGAAGAGTGTGTGAGTGAGGGCGAGAGGCGAGATGGACGGGTATGGCTTGGTGGTGACGTTGGTAGACGTATCGTGGGGCGAAAGGAAGAAAGCTGTATGCATAGCATGGCATGTTTACACTTACAGATGGGGTAGCAGGAGGCAGGGCTGAAGGTCATGATGATGTGCTTGACGTCCGTGAGAGAGGAGAAGTCTGCATGCGGAGAGGCGAAATCAGGCAGGGAGGCGATCAGGTGGAATACAAAAACGCATTAGCGGAAGCAGGAGCTTGGGAGACCAGTGGAGGACGATGGCAAGGAGGCGAACACGTGCGAAAGCAGAAAATGTTTACAGGATGCGTTGGGAAGAATTGCCGCATTCGGCAGATACAAACAGGCACTAACTAGAAGGCAGATCGTACTAAAGCCCATACATGCACGGTCAGCTTTTCATATGTATAAAAAATTACACTCACTGGACGGCAGAGGGTAAGTCTCCACGATGTACTCCTGCTTGGGTGTGGCCGCCTTAGCCCAGTCCGGCATGTACGCCTGCAGCAATCAGCACAGAGGGTCAGGGTGTAACCAATTCGCATTGATGAATCCGCATAAAATCGGCTAAATAACAGGATGATGGCCATAAATGACGGACGAAAATGCAAGATATTTTATCTGAAGAGTATAGGCGCGATCTTTGACACGATCAGGACGGAGGGTGAACTCTGTTGAACGAACCTGCACGCGGATCTGGTTACGGTTGGGCCCCACAACGACTCGCAAGTCGCCTTCGAAGTAGTTGCTGTGGAACGTCGTGTTCATCGTTGCACTGCCGCTCTGAGCCCAAGATCTGAAACACGCAAGTAAGTAGTGTGAGTAACTATTAACTAAGTGATGACTAGGGAGGAAAGAGGTTCTGAGAAGGTCAATGCTGACTGTTGAACCTGACACATGATAGTTACTATGCTCGGGTTCTGGCAATATACATTCCCAATGCAGCCCACGCATTCCAGTTGCGAAGGCTTCAAAACAAGGGAAAACACCTATCGGATTATCTCTTCGTCCACTGCAGAGAGGAGAATACTGATTCTCCGTCCAGCGATAGTATCACTGCAAACCGAGCTGTACCGGGAAGGGAGCAGTGCCGAAGTGGCGACGAGAAAGAGAAGAGCAACATTGGCCGACGGCGTGAGATTCATCGACGCCATAGCTGCTCGTGGTACCAGCACTACCAACGGCGCACGCGGGTAGTAAGAAACCGAGGGGTTGGGTGGACAACGTGGTGATAAGGATCCAGAGCAGGTTGGTTCATATACTCGTGCGACAAACGGACAGCCATGGTTCACGACCTGCGACGCTTCAGCTGCTGGGCTGAATAGAGCTCTAGCTTGGTTTGGCGGTATGCTTAGGCTTGTTGGAATCTGGCACCGTAAGTAAGTGCCGTGTTCTCTCAGGAACTGAACTGTACTGTACACCTGGCCCGCTCTAATTTCATACTTGGTATTTTCACCCGCCATTTCGTCGAAGGGTTGTCACCAGGGCTTATGTTAGGTTTTTGAACAGCTCTGACGCTCAAAGCTCCCTTCAAATTTCACCCTGAAAACCCAGGGTCCGAAGCTATAATGCTCTGTTTTTTCGGGACCACCCGAAAAAATGCTCAACGAGCGCACATTTCCGCAGATTTTACTTGAGGTTGTTCCAAGCTCTGCGTCGCATTGGAGTCGCGTGTGTTCTAGGGGTATGAGGGGATTACTCCTTCCGAACAAGTAGCCTGGTAGCCAGGTCCTAAACGACTGACGGGTGTTAGGAGTGTGCAAGATAAGGGGTGAGGGGAGGGAGGGGCGCCGGGGGAGGGAGGGTGCAGGTAGTGGAAATATCAGGGTTACCTAAAAATCTTCTCGTAGGTTCCAGGGTCGCCTGGCAATCTTCCCGGATTTTGTCAGGGCTGGATCGAAAGCAATTAGGAGAAAATCAGGGCTGGTCTAAAAACTACCTTAGAATTTCAGTGAAGTAAGGGCAAATGCCCTGATAACATAAGCCCTGGTTGTCACCCTCCGAAAGCATGGCCAAAGAGGCGGGTCTCGCAAGCCTTGGAAAAAACGGCATGCTTGGATTTCTAGACTGCCATCGTTTACAGCGTCTCTTCTCCCATCTCTTAGTGTTCTCTATGAAGTCATCAGTCATCTACTTGTTGACCCGAGCCTTCCGTGTCGAGACTACGAGCCGCTGGCTGGAGCCCACCGTGAACACAGGAATGCTCTTTGCTGACTAAGAAAGGTTAGGGTATAGTTAAAACGATTACTGTTGCAAGGAATTTTATTCCTTACCGGGTTGTACTGCATTCCTGTACACCCGAACTCTCGGAAGTCCATGCTCGATCCGATTTCGACGCAACCTCGAGGCTGGCTCGCGCCGCCTCCGGCCCTTTCGACCATGCCTGTACTCAACCTAGCCCTCCGGGCTCATCGCCTAGCTATAGTTCTCGCTATATAATGTTAGGCTCCCATTCTTGTACTCGTCATTATTATTCCGCGCACTCTCAGTTATTATTTATGATATTTGGTATCAGAGCTACTTTCCTGGTTCGCCCCGCTTTCTCAGAGTAATTTATTCCCAAGGCGTAGTTAACCCTCCAGGGCTGCAAAGCGGTTATCCATGAGCTAGAGTTATTAGCTCACACAACTACGATAGCATTTGCGTCCCATGCGGTTTCTTACCATGGCCTTCCCCCTGCCCGAAAGGTGTAGCATTCGCATCATAACTCAGACCCATCTAAACGAGGTCATGGCTCTGATGTAGGCAATGCAAGCCAGATGGCGAGTTTGAATAGTGAAGTCGTGAGACTTCGGACAAAGAACACCGAGCTTCGCCAGACGCGTGGTAAAGCGCGTCAGGAGTCGCATGGAGTCGCAGAGAATGACGTCAAGCAAGAAGCCAACGACGCGGCGAGCGAAACCGTCCTTGACGAGCTCGCACAGGAGTTGGAGCACGACAATGTGGGCACTGTGAGTGTGACGAAGATTAAGCTCAAATCGGCCACGCCGCCTCCGTTTAACCCTCTGGACAAGGCGACGACGGTACAAGGGTGGTTGTTCAGCTTGGAGTTATTCTTCACGGCTGCAAGTGTGCATGCAGACGACAGATACATTAATTATGCGTGTTGCTGCTCGGAGGATTGGCGTTGGATTGGTGACGACGACAATTGGCAATTGGGACTCCGGCAAGCGTGAAGCAGGTGAAGGACATGACTTCAGGTTCTTCCAACAAACGGCAGAAACGATATTCGGTACGACCACGATTCGCACGCTCGTTTTGAGCACTCATCCGCCTCAGACGATGCTCGCATAAAGCTGCACAATTGGCGGCAGGTTAATACTGTTCAATATTACACGGCATCGTTCTCGGCACCAAGTGGACGACCTCAGCAAAGCGGAAAGGCGGGGTATGTACATCAGCAGGCTGCATTCTGATATTCAGTACGAATTGCAGCGGTCCCGGCCCAAGACGTTCGATGAAGCTGTCCAACTGGCGTCAGCAGCCGATGCACTGCAACAGTGGGCGAGCCATGTTACTGAGCTAAGTACTGCCTGACGGCGCCCAAGAAGACGAAGAACGACAAGGAGAAGCCAGAAATGGGAAAAGTCAATAGCAAATGGGCACCCTACGGACGAGGCTTTGTCGCTCGAACTTGAGCGTTCCCCCAAGTTGTGGTACTGATACATGCTATCGACTGCACTCGACGAAAAACGGGAGTGAACCTTAGCATTACCCTGGATGGCAGGGCTAGTCACAACTTGATCCACGTGACAACAGCGAAGCAATTGAAGCTGACATTGGAGAAATGCCTACCCGAAATTGACGCGCCATTGGTGGACGGAACGTCACTAGCAATTCGGGAACAAGCGCGCATGGTGCGGATGAAGGGTGGCGACGGTTTTGGATTCAGCATGCCCATGCTGGCAACGACGCTAGACGGCTGCGAAAACCTTGTCGAACGCGATTGGCTGGAAAAATACAACGCGAGCATCGACTGGACACTGGCAAATGCAGCGTGAACTGTGCAAACGGATGGTGGGTACTTCCGTGCTGGCGTGGGTGGGATCCAGTGTCAACACGTATCAACGCCATCACCCTCTAGCGCGCAGTGAAACGAGGAGCTGATTTGTACGACGTCCATCTGCACGAAGAGACGGTCAACGAAAAGCCAAAGAACATTGACACGCTCTGCGCTAATGTCCCTGCCGAGCTCGCTGCGTTGATTCGTCAGAACCCGGATAATTTTCCGGATGACCTACCAGCTGGATTGCCACCTGAGCGCCCCCAAGACCATAAAATCGACCTAGAACCTGGCGCACAGCCAACCGTCATGACACAGTGGCAGCTGACTCAGCCTGAACTCACAGAGTAGCGGAGCCAGCTGGATTAGATACTGGAGAAGGGATTCATCCGTCCCAGCACATCCCCGTTCGTAGCGCCCATTCTATTCACGCCAAAAAAAACGGAGGGATCTGAATGTGCATTGACTACAGGGTGCTGAATCGGTGAACCATCAAGTCTCGCTACCCAATCCCATGCGCAGACGATCTCCTAGACCAACTTCGCGGGGCTCGCTTCTTCTCCAAGATTGACCTACGAGGCGGTTACCATCAAATCATAGTTTTCGCTGGCGACTGCCACAAGACGGCGTTCCGAACCCGCTACGGCAGTTACGAGTACATGGTGATGTCTTTTGGCCTCACAAATGCGCCCTCTAGATTCCAGTTGACCATGAATGGCGTGTTCAGAGATTTACTCGACAAGTGCGTCATCGTGTACCTCGATGACATCTTGGTCTTCAACAAGACTCAAGAACAACACCTGGTCAATTTCCGGAAGTTGCCCATGAATTTACAGGAGCTGCAGAGTTTTCTCGGGTTCGTTAATTGCGTCCAGCGTTTTATCCCCAAAATGGCGAGGACAACTGGACCTCTAACCGATTTGCTACAAAAGGGCACTTCGTTTTGGTGGGAAGAGAGATAGCAGGCTGCTTTTGACGAACTCCGAAATGATCTGATGTCACCCCCGGTCTTCCGAATCGCTGATCTATCTCGGCCGTTTGAAGTCTTGACGGACGCTGGCGTTTTCGACATCGGTGCGGTACTGTTACAGGATTTTGGCGACGGACTCCAACCAATCGGGTATGAGTCTAGGAAGTTGCAGGCAGCTGAGTGCAACTACTCCATCTACAACAAAGAAACGATCGCCATCGTACACGCTTTTAAAGTGTGGAACAGCTACCTGATGGGAGCCGACGTGACAGTACGGACAGACCACAAATCCCTACAGTACCTCCGTGCGCAGCCGAACCTCAACCCACGACCGATTCGCTGGCTAGATTTCCACGAGAGCAACTTCCACTACATTATTACATACAAACGTGGGGCGAATAATATCGGCGACGCACTGACCCGACCGTCCGCCCATCTCCCCTCCATCGTCTTTGCAAAATCTAATCCATTACTCACGGACTATTTACCCACGGATACAGCACCGACCCCTTTTTTCATCCGCAACCTCCATCTGCAAGCCACTACGGCTAAGGAAATTTATTTCCTAATAGCCGGTACTAACCGCATCTGGGTTCCCGCTTACCGACTCCTCTGCGAATTACTGATCAAAGAAGTGCATAATTTAAACCTCTCGGTCATTACAGGGTTGATAAAACCCAGAAATTACTTCACCGTTTTATAATTGGCCAGATTCGGCGTGTGATGTGCAGAGATATGTACCGGCGTGCCTGACCAGCCAGGGAATGAAGTCCTCCCGACACTGTTGCAACCGCACGAGCCACCCTAGAAGCCGTAGCAAGACGTAACGCTGTATTTCGTTACGGACTTCCGGCGGAGAAAGTGGCAACGATGCGTTGTCGTTGTTGTTGATCGTCTGACGAAGATGGCGCATCTTGCACCCTGTCGCACGACCATTACAGCCGAAGAAACAGCCAAACTATTCATCTCAACTGTTGTTCGTCTGCACGCCCTACCCTCAGGACTCAACAGCGACCGAGACCCCAAGTTTATGTCCAAGCTCTGGCAAGAGAAGTGGGAACAATACGGCACCCGACTGGAATTTTCGTCAGCCCTACCACCCACAAACCGATGGTCGGATCGAGCGCACCAATCAGACCATGGAGTAGCTGATAAGCACCAACTGCCTCGATCCTGCCTGGTGGGAGAAATTCTTGCCCACGCTCGAATTTTCCTAAAACAGCGCCCCATCAGCAACGACTTGTCGCTCGCCCTTCTTCCTCAACTACGAGATGGATCCAACAGTACCCACGACAACCAACGTCGTCAATCCGTGCCATGTTCCCAACAGTTTGTTAATGACCTACAGACTACCAGGGAGAAGGCGATCGAGTTTATTCGCAAATCCAACACAACAGCCCGATGCTACACCGACCTTCATTGCTGAAATATTACAATGGTCGCTGGGCAATCCGTCCTTCTCGACACGAAGAACCTCCGCCTTCGCCTGCCATCTAAACTCCGCCATAGATTTTGTGGGCCTTTCCGCATCCTCAAAATGGTGACACTGTTACGGTGAAATTATTACTCCCAAACGAGTTGCGCATTCACGACGCCTTCCACGTGAACTTCCTTCGTCCCTACGTCGCCAGCACGTCCGCTCTTGCACGACCAACGGCCGTCTACAGTATCCACCCGATGGTCGAACTGACACTTGAGCCTTTCCAGATTTTGAGTCATCACGTCCGACTCGATGCCACAAGACGCCACGTGGATTTTCTTGTCCGCTCGGCTGACCGTACAAACGAAGACGACACGTAGATCCTTTCCGATTCGCTTTAGGAACACTAGGTCCTCAAATCTTATTTGATCCGAAAAGGCGTTCCCGATATTTACCACCTTCCTTAAGATGGGGGGTAGTTTATGGGATTTCATTCCTTCCCGGGTTGTACCGCAATCGCGTATACCCAAACTCTCAGAAGACTAGGCTCGGACCGATTCCGACGCAACCCCTAGGCTGACTCGCGCCGCCTCCAATCCTTTCAACTGCGTCTGTACCCAACCTAGCCATCCAGGCTCGTCGTCTAGCTAGAGTTCTCGCTATATAATGCTAGGCTCCCATTCTTGTACTCGTCATTATTAATCTGCGCACTCTCAGTTATTATTCATAACAACTGCCGCCATGTTCAGGCAAAAACATTACAGCGCGCCAGGTGTACTGTATAGTGCGGCGAAGCTCCATAGTACGGTGCATGATATGCTGTACACGTGGCATCTCTCTGATGGAACGCCCGTGCCGTGTCGTGCGGGTGAGGCTCTGTTCGCGCATCTGGCTTACAATCCCGACCATCCATCACTAGCGTAAAGGGCGGCGAACAGCTGAGCCACAAAAATGAGAAACCTAGGGGGAGATGATAAAATAGGGTCCTCGCCCCGCCAGAGGCGTGAGCAAAAAGGTCCGCCAGCTTTCTGGCACGAGACATTGTCTCCGAACCTGTGATACATCGCCTTCGTCGTACAACACATAAATAGTTTTGGTTCGCGACACAGCTCTGGTCTGTGGGGCGCCGTATCATGACCCTGTGGGGTGGGACATTTATACGAACAGTGTTTCAGGGCATTAAATATACAGGTCATATGCCTTGTAGCCGACTTCCTTTTACGCCCAGGAGTATCTCATTGGCATTTTATCCTTACGGGCCTCTCCTTGTAGGCTAAGTGTACTCGTGTCATATGAACAATACTCATTACACTCAATTGGCAACATTTTTTCGAAAGCCAATCAGTGTTTTCGTGCGACGATTTTCAATGGCAGGCGATCTGACACTGGCTGTTTAGAGCCGAATGCTCGGAGCCGAATCCACATCACTTTCTGGAAAATCCAAGAACCACTAGACCAGCCATTTATGTTCCTCCACGTTTGCCCAACAAATTGTGTGAGTAATGTTTATACAATTGCGGGCTTGTTTTATATCATTCTGAAATGAATCCGGATGCGCAAACAGAACTGGTTACCGTTTTCGTCGATGTTTGCACACCCCGTACATTTGCGATCTTCTCAAATCTAAACGCCTTTTCCTTGTTCTTGATAGAGCGCATTGAATGTTGTGTGGAATCTAAAACTTTACCATGAACCCTGAGTTGACGCGTACGACATGGTAAGCGACACCTGATCGCAACAAGCGCCAACACTGCCGACCATGAACAGTTCATAAAATACAAGCAAAAAACATTTTGCGACACGCCAGAGTCCCGTTTGCCTGAGCATATTCGATGTACGCGAAATCCCCCGAGTCGCCCCCCGGGCTCTCAGGGAATATGACTTGTAGCTATAACCCATAGGTTCCTCACACGCGACTCTGGGTGGCAACATCCCTAAAATTGCAAAAAAGCTGCGTGTTTAGGGTTGATGCCATCTCGAACTGAATTCGGTCCCAAATGGATTTTCTGTTTTCTCCTTTTCGTTGATAAACGTTTACTAGTAAGTACCAAAAATGAAACGGAGTGTATTACATGTTCGGAGATGGACGGACCTCTTTCTGGCATAGCGAGGGCCGATCATTTCCCAAATCTAGGGAAAGGGCGGCACCATAGGCAAACCAAACGAGCCTGTCATTACTGCAGTCCCTGCATTCACTTTCCCACAAAATTCAAGCTGTTCATCAGGGCGTATTTCTTACGGGCAAATACCCAGATTTCGGAAAGATAACGGGTGATGTTTTCTTTGATCTCGGATTCTGACGGGTCCTTTCGCCCTCGCCAGATTTCTGTGGGCAGAGATAGTAGCCTTAAAATCATTTGGTCCTTGAGATGCACATATTTGGTCCTTGAAAGGCACACTTGGATTCCCCCCAGTTCGGCATAATCCACTTAACACTCAATCTCATTTAGCTTCGCACTCAAAACAAAACTGAGCTTTACAAACAAAAATGGGTCTTGTTCGCTGGCGGCAAAAGTGGCAACTGAGTCTGTTCAGGGCGACCCGAAGCGCGACATGCACAGTAACCTAAATTCCGAACTAGAACACGCTAAAGACAATAACTAGCCGTGCAACTTGTTTCCGGCACCAGCTGTAGAAAATGACGACGAATATGACGACAGAAGAGGTAAGAAAAACATACTGCTACAGTAGAGCTCAAACAGCTCATCCGCCGCCGAAGTGCGATCGAGATCGGAGGGACTGTCCTTGATGTTGTCAGGAACTGGAATGTTCGGGAACTTGGAACCTTGTCCAGTAGTTTTCGGCCACTCGTCCTTTTTGGGGAGGGGGGCGATCATACTACACCCTGATATTCCAGGGTGGATGGGATTGGCATATTCGTGTTGCGATTGTTCCGCTTAGATACCTCTTCACTCACAATGTCGTGTAGTATACCTATACTTGATATTATGAATCAGGTAGTAGTATCTTATCTCCATCCCTACTAATCTCAATATACCTATGAGACAATATATACATACACTGAAATATTAATACACTTCAAACTAGGGTCAGCTGATTACGCTGACTCAGCGATCCAACATTCGACCATCCATCTAAACCCCACAGCCCAACCAGATACCCCCTACATCAAGCGTCTGCATACATTGCCGAATCATGCATCTCCCAGGTGACACCAATCACACATCATTTCAACCTGCAACGAGCACTTTCTTCTTGCTCCTCTTGTTTCGTTTGTAGCACTGGGAATGGCGGCGGCCACCCTCTATTGGAGCACGGCCTCAACAACACATCTTCCGCCCCATATGCTGCTGCTGGCCCCCCATCCTCAGCCACACTCCGCATCCCATTTCCACACTCTCGCATACAGTCACGAGCCCCATCACAGTCACAACCACACCCTCCCCTTCGGCTCTTCTGCTCCGGCTGGCAGGCGGGTATATGCGGAGGAGCAACATACGCTGATGGCATGCATTTCGATGGACTCAAAGACGAACCAGAGGAGGACGATGATGACGAACCAAGGAAGGAAGAGGTGGGAAAGGCAGGAGCAGAAGAAGGAATGCTGCCTGGTGCAGTTGAGTTAGCAGCGGCAGCGGTAGCTGCGGTTGAGTTGGAAGGGTTTGGTTTGAGGGAGAGAACTTGGGCACGGGGCAGAGGAAGTCGAAGTGTATCTTGTAACCGGCAACCACAAAGCGCACCGCGTTGAGCACCCCCTTTGCGCCCCACGCTGCCACCAGCGTCTTGAAATAGAAGTAGGCCAAGGCTGCAGATGGGAGGTTGGAGAAAGGGAAAAACGGGAGGGGGGGAGGGGGACGTGAGTACGCATGAAAGCTCTCTTTCCCCTGTGGTTGGGGTGGTGTGGGGAGTGGGGGATGGGTTGGCGGCGACCAGACGGCACTCGGGCGAAAAACGGTTGACGGACTGCAGAAAGAAACAAGAGGCCACGAGGAAAGGACAGAAAAGCGCATGAAAGTGCGGGAATACTGATGGAAGTGCGGGCATACTGATGGAAGTGCGGGCATACCGATGGAAGTGCGGGCATACTGATGGAAGTGCGGGCATACCGATGGAAGTGTGGGCATACCGATAGAAGTGCGGGCATACCGATGAAGGGGAGGAAGAGGCCGACGAAGCCAATGGAGAGGCAGGCTGCCATGTAGGAAAACGCCTGGGCAGCATAGATCAGACCGTCATACACAAATACCTGGGGGAGGGGAGGAGGGGAGGACGAGGGGTGAGGTGATGGAGGGAGGAACTGGCCGTTCCTTGAGGCGCCTCAACACATGTAGGGGAATGCCTGGGCTGGGCGGCATGGATCAGACCGGCGTACAGAAAGACCTGCGAGGCAGGTCATGGGGGATTGGGGGGCGGAGAGAAGAGTGCAGGTGAGACGAGGAAGTCGCCAGTCCATGCGGCGCCGCAACAGGTGTTACATGAGGGGGGTCATGTGGAGCAGGTATCTTTTGAGTCGACTCAAAAGTCACCTCAACACTTGTGAGGGGGGTCATGAGGTGCAGGTATTGCAATCAGGGCATGCGAGGGAAGGGATGCATGGGTTAGGCCATTGTACAGAGCCACCCATGGTGGAGTTGCACAACACTGGTGGAGTTGCACAACACTGGTGGAGTTGCACAACACTGGTGGAGTTGCACAACACTGGTGGAGTTGCACAACACTGGTGGAGTTGCACAACACTGGTGGAGTTGTGGGGTGAAAGGGATATGTGTGTGTATGGCAGTCCAATCCGTGCGTGGAAGGAACCATCGGATGGAAGCCCATGATCGAGGAGCCCATGACCGAGGAGCCCATGACCGAGGAGCCCATGACCGAGGAGCCCATGACCGAGGAGCCCATGACCGAGGAGCCCATGACCGAGGAGCCCATGACCGAGGAGCCCATGACCGAGGAGCCCATGACCGAGGAGCCCATGACCGAGGAGCCCATGACCGAGGAGCCCATGACCGAGGAGCCCATGACCGAGGAGCCCATGACCGAGGAGCCCATGATCGAGGAGCCCATGACCGAGGAGCCCATGACGGAGGAGCCCATGATCGAGGAGCCCATGACCGAGGAGCCCATGACCGAGGAGCCCATGACCGAGGAGCCCATGATCGAGGAGCCCATGACCGAGGAGCCCATGACCGAGGAGCCCATGATCGAGGAGCCCATGACCGAGGAGCCCATGACCGAGGAGCCCATGACCGAGGAGCCCATGACCGAGGAGCTGAGAGGGAGAGAGTTTGCAGCCATGTCTCCCTCAAATGTGCGCATCTCAGGAAAGAATGAGAATGATTGCACCAAGAGCACTCACAGTGGAGTTAATCGCCCGGATAACCAGGTACAGCCACGCCTCTCAGCTCGCTCTTGGTGCCCTCATCAAAGGTGAAAAGAGCCATCAACTCACGCGCCCATTACATCCTTAGGAGACAAATAAGGCTTCTCACAATGGAGTTAAGTGGTTGAATGAGAGCCAGGTACAGCCACCCACGCACCTCTCAGCTGCCTCTTCGCGCCCTCGTCAAAGGTGAACAGCCCCATGAGATCCTCCTCCCGCCTCCCGGGATACACCACCGTAACCCCCAGCCCGGACAAGATACATCCCTAGGAAAGAGGAGTTGTTGCTTACAATGGAATTAAGGGGCTGGATGAGAGCCAGGTAGAGCCACGCGCCTCTCAGCTCTCTCTTGGTGCCCTCGTCGAACGTGAACAGCCCCATGAGTTCCTCCCGCCTCCCCAGATACACTGCCGCGATCACCACCCCCGCCGCACCCCCCATGTACAGCACCCGCCAGCACGCCTCCCTTAGGTCCCTTAAGTGGATCGCGTGCTCCGCTGGAGTTCGGCTCTTAGCTAAGTGCCCCGCGATGCTGCTGGCGACGATTGTGCCGGCGGTGGCGAAGCCGTCTGCGATGTAGATATTGATCATCCACAGCTGCATCAATACTTGGTGCGCTGCTACTGCATGCATGCCCAGGGATGTGGCACAGGCTAGCACCAGGAAAAAGGACGCCTGCAGGTTTGGGGAGTTGTTGGGGGGGAGGCGGGCAGGTAGGGCAAGGCAGAAAAGGGGTAAGATGACAGGGAGGACAGGGGGTGTGTGGCAAAGCCATCAGCGATGTAGTTGTTGATCATCCACAGCTGCATCAGGACTTGGTGCGCCGCCACTGCGTGCATTCCCAGAGAGGTGCTGGCACACGCCAGAACGAGAAAGAACGAGGCCTGTCGCGGGGGGGGAAGAGAAGGCAGGGGAGCCAGAAAGGGAGGTGGCGACACCATCAGCGATGTAGTTGTTGATCATCCACAGCTGCATCGGGACTTGATGTGCTGGTCGCAGCACGGTGCTGAGCCCGTCCCATATGAACCATACTGCACCGCACTGACCCTGAGTTTATCCTGGGCGTTATGACTCATACCTGCACGAGTTCCGATCGCAGCATGGTGCTGAGTCCATCCCAGATGAACTTCCACGCGCGCTCTCATTCAACACCTCGTTCACCCTCAGCACCGCACTGTACCTTCCCATGCCCTCTCATACCTGCACTAGTGCCGATCGCAGCATGGTGCTGAGTCCATCCCATATGAACTTCCACGTGCTCTCATTCAGCACCTCGTTCACCCTCTCCTCCTCCTCTGTCAACTCCTCCCCTCCTCCTGCTCCCCCCCCTTGCTGCTGCTGCTGCTGCGGATCATGTAGCTGGCTGGGAAGCCCGCTCCCCTGCTCCCCCTGCCCATCCAGCAGAGCCACATGCAAGTCCTCCTCCTCCTCATCACGAACCCCACTGCCACCACCAACACCGCCCTCCCCACACGGGCTCCAAAGCCCCGCTCTTTTCTTCCCACCGGCGCTGCCAAACAGGGTGTTCAGCAGGGGGCTGACCACGTGGATCTTGTGCCGCCCCTCCGCAGGCGGCAGCAGCAGGATGCAGACAAACGCGACGGTGGCGACGAGGGTGGAGGCGAGGATGGTGCCGAGTCCGACCCCATTCAGGCCCCAGTTGAGCACGTAGAGGGCCATGTACGAGGCGAGCACGTCTAGGAGCACTCTGCAGCCCTGCAGGCACGCCACCAGGTTGACCCTCTGAAGACAGAAATCGGGGGAAGGGGGAAGTGGGGAAGGGGAAAGTGGGGAAGGGGGAAGTGGGGAAGGGAGGGGAAAGGTGTCTGAGTCCAGAGAGGATGGTGCCGATGCCCACACCGTTGAGCCAGTCGAGCACGTAGAGGGCGACGTACAAGGCCAACACGTCTAGGAGTACTTCGCAGCCCAGCAGGCAGGCCACTAGGTGGACTCGCTGAAGGGATCAGGGACGGGGGGGAACGAGGGGGATGGTGGTGGGGGGTAGGGGTAAGGGTGGGACGGGAATCAGACAACGCGGCCGCAGCAGGATGCAGACGAACACGGCCGTGGCGACGAGAATGGAGGCGCTTTTGAGTCGACTCAAAAGCAGACTCATTACACGCGGTTTTTACATTGACAATATACTGTTGCTTGGCAGATTGGGAAGAGTGTACTGAAAACACTCGTTAGTAAGGGTGGGACCGGAATCAGACAACGCGGCCACAGCAGGATGCAGACGAACGCGGCCGTGGCGAAGAGAATGGAGGCGTGGCAGCAAGGCCCACACCGTTGAGCCCCCAGTTGAGCACGCACGGTGTGGGCCTCGCCTCGCACAGCACATCGACCCCAGTCAATGTAGGAAGCAAGAACGTTAGTAGCACCCTGCCACCAGGCTGACTCGCTGAAGGAAGCACAATATGGCAGGAAGCACAAGGGGGGAGGGCGGGGGGGTCAATGGGTGGGGTGGCGACGAGAGTGGAGGCGAGGATGGTGCTGATGCCCACCCTCGCCTCCAACGCCTTTGAGTTCCCAGTCGAGCACATACAGGGCCACGTACCTTGTATCCTTGGAAAATGCCCGAGGTGCACATGACCAGAAGCTGTAGCGGCACGCAATTACTCGCAAGTAGAAGAAGTGGCTCTTGGCGTACGGCAGCACCTTGGGAGTATCCGTCAGCAGCAGTCACAGCGCAAACCACTCTCAACCCCTCTACACCGTACCTTGTACCCTTGGAGGATTCCCGAGGTGCACATGACCAGCAGCTGCGGCGGCACCCCCACCACCCGCAGATAAAAGTAGCTTTTTGCCAGCGGCAGCACCTTGGGAGTATCCGCCAGCAGCAACCACAGCGGCTGCTGCACCGCCAGCAGCAACCCCACCGCCACCACCCCCATCACCAGCGCCATTCCCAGCGCCAGGCGAATACGGGCCCCCACCTGCGTCCATGCCCCCACTGCCACCACTTTAGTGACCTGGGGAAAGGGGTTAAGGGGGAGGGGAAGGGGGGGGAGGGAACGGGGGGAAGGAGAGGGGGGGAGGGAGAGGAGTACGCAGGGGGAAGGGAGGAAGTCGGCAGAAGGGGTAAAATGAGAAACGAAAGGCGTCACAGCGAAATGCAGCAGCCCCACCGCCACCACCCCCATCACCAGCGCCATTCCCAGCGCCAGGCGAATCCGCGCGCCCACCTGCGCCCATGCCCCCACCCCACTGCCACCTCTTTAGTGACCTGGAGAAGGGGGAGGAGGGGGGGTGGGAGGGGTAGGGAAAGGGTGAGGATAAAAGCACCAGCAGCTGCCCCACCGCCACCATCCCCATCACCAGCGCCATTCCCAGGGCTGCGCGCATCGCCCCACTGATACCACATTGGTCAACCAAGGGGAGAGGGGGGGGGGGGGAGAGAGGGGAACCGGGGCAAAGCGGGGAGATGAGGGGGGGGGGGGGGTGGGTTGGGGAAGGGGGTTGGGCAGACAGGGCGGGAAAGGTAGGAGAACAGCTTAGATGGAGCCAGAGGCCGTCAAGAGCGGGCTCTGGCAAGATTGAGCGGGTTCGGGCGGGTTGGGGCGGTATCGGGCGGGATCGGGCGGGATCGGGCGGGATCGGGCGGGATCGGGCGGGATCGGGCGGGATCGGGCGGGATCGGGCGGACAGGACGGGACGACAAGAGCGAGGGCGAGGGGTAAAGGGACGCGGAATTAGCCAGAGTCCGTCAAGACGGTCAACAGCGACAAAATCCGTTAGCATACGACGGGGAAGGGGGAAGGGGGGGGGGGGGGGGGGGGGGGGGAGGAGGAGAGCAGGGGTGGAGGGGGGAAGGGGGAGGAAACGCAGGTAAAGTCGACAGCGCAGGAAACTCCTGATACGTACCTTGGCAGTGACGCCGACAACGAGGAAGTTGAAGACGACTGTAGCCGCGTTCGTAGCGGCTGACGTCAGCGACGACGATGCCGTGGAGGTCACAAAAAGAGTCGAACGGCAGGAAGCGAGTCGCAGGGCCGTCGCGCCACGGGGGGGGACGAAGCACGGGGACAAGGAAAGGCAAACAGGTGGGAACGGTGGGTAGGGGAGAAGGAAGGCAGGTGAGCAACACAATCACACTCGCACACGTTCCACGTAAGTCACGCACACACACACGTCTAGAGTCGAACCAGAGTCACACACACACGAATGATAAAATATTATCGCCAGCAGGGCAAAACTTCCAGCAGCAGAAAGCGAGATTTTCAAACCCTTATTCACTCTAGGTCCCTCGCCTAAGGACGGACGCCCCTATTTACCCTACTTCTCGAGTCCTCTCTGCGACTCTCTGCGACTCTCTGCGACTCTCTGCGACACCTACGACTCACTTGCGACGATGGCCCATGCGGCGACGATCTCCGTGGACTTGCGGCCGAGCAGCGCGGTCTGGAAGGTGATGGCGAGCGGCGCGCCGCTCTGCAGGAGAATGGACGGCAGCGCGAGGCGCAGCAGCGATGAGTAGTGCAGCACGGGATTCAGATCCTTAAAAATCATCCTCGGCAGGGCTGTCACCTCAGCTGGCCTTAACAACTGTCGGCTGTTAACGACTGCCGCCTGGTAATTGCTTTCTCTAGGCACCGACTATCGGCTGTTACAACTGTCGCTGGTAACGACAGCAACGTGTGACGCCTCGGGCCGAGAACACCCCAGAAGAACGCCCACGCGAGAGCCCGAACCAGCTAGCAACACATAACTCACTCGGAGGTGAATGTATGTGAAGCCAGCCCAGAATCTGTACAGCTGAAACTACCTAAAAGTCGGTGAGCAGCCTGAAGCTCTATGATACTCAAGTCGCAGTGACGAACGCTCGTTGAACTGATCGACTTCGAAGCGTGTGTGGTTTGTGCTCCTAAGCTAGCTCAGTGAGCACCTCCATCCTGCGTGGAGTGGAGAGGGCTGTAAAGCGGGGTTGTTGCGGTCGCAGAGCGCGAGTGTCGCGGAGGCGAACACGGAAAAAAGAAGCAGCCAAGAAAGTGAAATCAACATATTCTCGCTCAATACCCTATCCAACCGTGAACTTCTTGATATCGTTATCTTCTGACTTGCATAGAATCTCACCCAACCGCAATCAAACGTACGCGCGGGACCCGCACTGACCGTCCGCTCCGCTTTGAGGGGAGTCTGCTGCCAGTCAGTCCTTACCGCCTTGCCTCTCGGAACTGAGCCAAACCAAACCAGCTTACTTGCGCCCTGGTTCTGCCTGGTTCGTACACCAGTTTCTGTTTGGGTTTCTGGACCGCTAGGCTCGGCTTGCCCAAGTCAAGTTCAGAAGCAAGGTGGGTTCGGGGGGCAGACTGTACAATTGCGTGGTGCGGTTGCCATGTTTGCCACGTGGGGTGGAGTGTCGTGTGCCCACTGCCCGAGGGCTGTTTCCTGTGCGACTAATTTTTTTCACAGCGCTAGACGCGTGTGCGACCGCTTGTGCTGGCGCTTGGCGAAAATGTCGTCTGGTGTCGTCTGGTAAGAACAGGACACGAAAGCTGGCCCCGCGCCGCAGTTTTCCAGACCCTGGGTTTCCCGCATTCCCTTCCATGCTGGCTGGATGTGACGACTCTGTGCGACGTTTTCAGCTTCGGACGACGTCGGTTGTCGTTGCTTACGTTTGGTACCCATTGGCGTTTCAGAAGACTCTTGGCTGTGATGCGACTTCCTGAATTGGCTCCATCCGACCACTCAGACATTGACGACAATGCCACAGATCAGGTGGCTAGTCAGCTGCTTCCCCGCATCTGATTGGTGGGATTAGTCTCCAATCATGTCATTCTGTCCCACACCATCTCGACGAAAGGCTGGGGATATCCCGCGGCGCCGTTGCTGGTGGTCAGCGGAAGCACTCCAACTTTAGCGGGAGGCCAGGTGCATTATTGACAGGCAAGGCACTGGTGAGCATCACAGCGAGTGTTTCATATCAGTTCATCTCAAATAACACATACTATAATAAAGGAGCAGATGAACTATGATAGGTTTGTGATTCATAATTCATTGAAAAGATTTTGTGATAAATTGCCACATATAAATGAAAGCGGAATTATATCATCAAAGGTAACAGCCAATTGTCTTGTACATTTTATATCCCTGAAACATGGTGTTACATAAAGCTACAAGACTGGGGCATAGCTGCACAGGTGCCACCCCGTTATTGGCGAAAATACTGCGGCATCAGCCGGTTTGTGGTTGGTTGCTTTTCCACTTCACACGCGCCGACTTGAGAAAATGGAGATGACATTGGCCAGCTTGGACATTTTCGACCAAAGGCAGGCGCCCAAGTGTATATATTCGTCCATGCACGTGACAACCCCATAACTCCGAAGCGCACGCGACTCCGTCAGCAAGTAATTTGAGGTACCTGATTGGTGAAATTTGTTGCTCCACCACCTCACCCACCCCTTATCGCCTGGGGTCACTTTCTGTGCTGCTCCCTCCCAACCTCCTCCCTTGCCCTGACCTGAGAAACGAGAAGGTCCACGAAAAAGGCTTCGACAAGGAGATTCGATCTATCACCGTATTAAATGAAATAATCACCACACGCGAATGTACAGCACCGCCTACAACCGTGTATCCGAATGGGCTTGGTGTGAACTAGGCTCCTCCCTGTTCGGGTTTGTCACCTCCGAGACACAACTCGACCCAACTCGACGCGACTCTCACAATCTGGATTACGAGCACCGCTAGAGATTAACTAATAACAGAAGTGCGCAGTTTGCAAGCAAGCTAGTTCTGGACGACGCACGAGCAGCACCTTAGTACGGGCCCTCCCTTGCGGGCTTGTGACTCTAAAAGACAGAATTATGGCGACGATTGGCGTTGACGCTCTAAGTGCCACCCGTTGCCTTGTCTGCCCGTTGAATCAACGTTCATTGGCGACAGATTGTGGCATGACGTCAGCTACTCGTATACCCGCGCTCAGATCTCCGTTCGCTGGCGATTTCATTGGCGACAGGACTCGCTTCCGGAAACTTCAATTTCGCAAAGTTCGCAATGCCGTATTGCGAAGTCGGCATGTAACATCGATGACGATCAGCCGCATCCCCCATGGCGACACGATTCTCGAGGCGTCGCAGAACACGACGATGACGATTCCCCCGCGAACGACTCTCAACGAGTACCTCGATAAGATCACGGACCCGTTAGAAGCCGAGCTGCGGACCCGTTATTGGCTGCCGCACGTCACCGATATCGACCCCGATACGCCGTCGTTCTACTCCACGTTTTGCACCAAGACAAGGTTCGTGTAGGAAACGTACTACCGCTTGATTGACTTTGCTCTTGAATTGCCGGAACCACGAAGACCACAAATTTTGATTTACGTGATCTTGCCTTTGAGTAGTATTCCCGTACGATCGACTCTTTCAACACTGTCGACAGTCAGTTTTGGCGCCTATTTTGATCCACAATCCCCTGACATGCTCCGGCAGTCGCGGAGAAATGGGGTGGGGAATCAGATCTGGTTCGGGCTTACTCGAAACTGCGATCAGGTCTTTGTAAATGCGTACAATCTCCTGATTTGGACATCTAGCCACCAGATCCCCATCCCCTTGAGACGAGACTTTCAGCTTTTGAGGCGCCTCATAAATCTCCTGATTTGGACATCCAGCCACCAGATCCCCACCCCCTTGAGACGAGACTTTCAGCTTTTGAGGCGCCTCATAAATCTCCTGATTTGGTCATCCAATCACCAGATCCCAACCCATCCCCTTGAGACGAGAGTTGCAGCTGTGCGTTTGACCTGGGCTGAGAGGATACGCTGTGTTCTGGGGGCCTTGAGGACAAAGGGGTCTGAGAGTATGCGTTTCTTCTTCTGGGTATCTCTTTCAGTTGCAACATTCAGCAACATTCAGTTTGGGTGTCGTTCCCGAAACAGAGATTGCAGCTCACGAGGCTGTGTTTTGGTGCCTCCCTGTCCCTGTCCCCCGCAATTAAGTGTCTCGCTTTTTATACTCGGATGACTACAGCGAACTCATTCCCTGCCTCCCAACCTGCCTCACTCCCTCCCTCCCTGCCTCCCTGCCTCCCTCCCTGCCTCCCTCCCTGCCTCCCTCCCTGCCTTCCTACCTGTCCCCCTGCATGCCTCCCTTCCTGTCCCCGCGTGCAGCTGTCCACTGCTGCCCCTCGATAAGGGCGCGCCTCGTTTGTGGACTACGACACGCACGAGCTGGGGACCAATTCCTCCCCCCCCCCCACCTCTGTCCCCCTCTCTTTCCCCCCGCGTGCAGCTGTCCGCTGCTGCCCCTCGATAAGGGCGCCTCGTTTGTGGACTACGACACGCACGAGCTGGGGACCACGTCACTCTTCGTGCACGACAATGATAAAGTGCTGCTCAAGGTACTGCAGACACGTGCTTAAGGTACAGCAGACACGTGCTTAAGGTACAGCTGACACGTGCTCAAGGTACTGCCGACATGTGCTCAAGGTACTGTCGACACGTGCTCAAGGTGCTGCTGACACGTGCTCAAGGTGCTGCCGACACGTGCTCAAGGTGCTGCTGACGCACTCGTGTTACTCAAGGTACACGAAGGTTCTCTCAGCTGTCTTGATCTTCAACTTTCTCAATCTTTCCACCCCTTCTTGACCCCTTCTCCACCCCTTGCACTCCCTCCCACCATCACCCCTTTTCCTCTCCTCTGCTCGTCCCCCGTCACCGCCACCTGTTCCCCTTCTCTGCTTTTCCTAACGCTGAAGTACTTCCATCCCCAGGACGGCTGACGTGTCATCTGAGGACTGTCACCGTTGAGGCGCCTCAGCAGCGCCTCCACTCCCTCCACGTTCCATCCCTTGCCTTCCCCTTCTTCTCCAGACGGTGAAGTACTCGCACCCCATGACGGCCGATGCCTCATCCGAGGAGGACTGCCACTTCGTGCAGCACTGGTGCGTTTGCTAGGCCGAAGCGAGTGGGAGAGGGAGGGGAGAGGGTGGAGGAAGGCGGGGGGAAGTGGGGAGGGGGGGGGGGTGGGGAGGGGACGAGCGATGGGCGTGCGGGCTGCTGTGGTAACCTGTGAGTCACATCCCCGTACGCCCTCCCCTCTGGCACTCCCCCACAGGCTGGTGCGTGCAGGGGCGAGGCCGCGAGTCTCCTTAAGCCGCAGGATGCACTGGCTGCTATGGTCGCGTGTGGGGGAATTGAGCTGAGAGGCACGCCCCCTACTCCACCCCTACTCCACCCCTACTCCACCCCTACTCCACCCCTACTCCACCCCTACTCCACCCCTACTCCACCCCTACTCCACCCCTACTCCACCCCTACTCCACCCCTACTCCACCCCTACTCCACCCCTACTCCACCCCTACTCCACCCCTACTCCACCCCTACTCCACCCCTACTCCACCCCTACTCCACCCCTACTCCACCCCCTCTCCACCTCCACCCCCTCGCCAACCCCTCTCCCTCTCGAATCCGCTCCAGGCTAGTGCGAGCAGGGTCGAGACCGCGAATCTTCTTCAAGCCGCAGGACGTGAGGGCTGCTGTGGCTAGATGTGGCCCCTCAAGTAACCCTTGAGTCACCCGTCCCTCTTCCTCCCCCTTGCTTCTTCCCTCCTCCCCCCACTCTCTTTCAGGCTAGTGCGAGCAGGGGCGAGACCGCGAATTTTCTTCAAGCCGCAGGCCGTGAGGGCTGCTGTGGTGACGTGTGGCGGACTCTGCCCTGGGCTGAATGACGTCATCAGACAGGTGAGCGGGGTGTGTTGACGCCATTAGCAAAGCTGCAGTTCTTCTTGTTGTGGCTCCCCTCGCCGCTGTCTCCTCAGCCGCTGTCTCCTCAGCCGCTGTCTCCTCAGCCGCTGTCTCCTCAGCCGCTGTCTCCTCAGCCGTTGCTCCGCCTCCTAGCTGCCCTCCCTGCTTCCCTCTCTCACCCCCATCCCACCCCCCATCCCACCCCCCATCCCACCCCTCGTGCTGCCGTCAGGTGGTGACGACGCTCAACACGTACAGAGTGAGCGACATTCGAGGCATCAAATATGGCTCTTGACACACCAAAGAACCATCTTTGCCCCTTCTCTACCCCAACCCCCACCCCCACCCCCCATCCCACCGCTCGTGCTGCCGTCAGGTGGTGATGACGCTCAACACCTACGGAGTGAGCGACATCCGAGGCATCAAGTATGGATTCCGAGGCTTCTTTGACACCTCCCTACACATACCGGTCAGTGCCGTGTGATGGTCTGCGCAGTGCCATGCCCCATGCTGGCTCTTGCCATTCTCCTCCATCTATTCCCCCCCCCCTCCCATCCCACCAGCTCAACCGTCGTGGGCAACATCCACCTCATGGGAGGCTCCTCCTCTCCTCATGGGGTGACGACGACTCCCATGAGAGAAGGATGAGGACGACTCCCCATCAATTTCCCCTGACCCTCCCCATGTCTCCTCCCCCCCCTTCTGCCATCCCACTCCCACCAGCTGAACTAGGCAGTGGTGGACAGCGTTTACCTCATGGAAGACTCGTTCCTCCTCCGCCTATGCCCCTCCGCCCCCCCCGTTTCAATGTCTCTATTCCTATCCCTCTGCTTCTCCCTATTTGAACCCACCAGCTGAACCGGGCAGTGGTGAAAAACATTCACCTCATGGGAGGGTCGTTCCGTCCTCCTATGTACTTCCACTCCACACCCTTCCCACCAGTCAATCGACCTCATGCCCCTCCGCCCATTTCTCTATCCCTATCTCCCAGTCCCTATATTAATTGAACCCACCAGCTGAACCGGGCAGGCAGTGGTGAGCGACAATCACCTCATGGAGGCTCGTTCCATCCTCCTCCTATGACCCTCCACTCCACGCCCTTCCCAATTACCAATCTGCCCCATGCGCTGCTGCCCATCCCCCCATCTTTCCCCGTCGCCCATCCCACCAGCTGAACCGGGCAGTGGTGGACAACATCCACCTCATGGGAGGCTCGTTCCTCCTCCGCCTCTGTCCCTCCGGCCCCCCGTTTCAAATTCTCTATTCCTATCCCTCTGCTTCTCCCTATTTGAACCCACCAGCTGAACCGGGCAGTGGTGGACAACATCCACCTCATGGGAGGGTCCTTCCTGGGAGTGTCCCGAGGGGGGTCCAACAGCCTTGATATTGTCGACTCCATTCAGGTAGAGAGAAGGGGGTGACTGGCGTGGGGGAAGGGATGGGTGGGATGGGCAGGCAGGATGGGTGGGATGGGGATGATGGGTGGCATGTGCATGAGCGAGCGAGCGAGAGGTAGGTGGATAGGTTGGTCTCGACTTGACATGCCATGCTACATGCCGTGCCGTGCCATGTCATGCCATGCAAATGCCATGGCATGTCCAAACAACCTAGCTAAAAACCTGTTTTGGTCCACGTCTTTCCCCCACGCCCACACACGTACTCGTCCTCCCCCTCCCCCTCTCCCCCCATCTTCCCCCCGACCCCTTCCCCCATCCAAAACGATGCACCACGGCAGAAGGAGGGGATCAACATGCTGTTCGTGATTGGTGGAAACGGCACACACGCTGGAGCGCTCGCCATTCACAAAGAGGTGAGTGTGAGGAAAGAGGAGAGATGTTGGGAAGAGGAGAGATGTTGGGAAGAAGAGAGAGGAAAGGGACGGAAAACAGTGAGAGCTGACGTACTTCAGTCACATGAGAGAAACGTCCCATGCCATGTGCTTCCTTCCTACAACTAAACCCCCATACCCTATGCTCCATGCTCCATACCCCATCATCCCCCATATCATACGCAGTGCTACAAGAAGGGCATGAAGGTGTTAGTAGTGGGGGTGCCCAAGACAATAGACAACGATATCCTGCTTCTGGACCAGACGTTTGGGTTCGACACTGCCCTAATACCCTTGTGCCATACATACCCTACTACCCCTACGCCCTATTCCATATGCTGTGCCCCATATCATACGCAGTGCTACCAGAGGGGCATGAAGGTATCAGTGGTGGGGGTGCCCAAGACAATAGACAACGATATCCTGCTCCTAGACCAGACGTTTGGATTTGACACGGCAGTGGAAGAGGCACAGAGGGCACTGCACGCCGCGTATGTGGAGGTGAGAACAAGGCGGAGCGGTGGGGGGGAAGGGATTAGGATGGCAGCTAGTAGCGGCATGGGCATGGGCATGGGCGTGGGCATGGGCATGGGCATGGGCATGGGCTAGTAGCGGCATGGGCATGGGCATGGGCATGCAAGGGCACGAATGAACAAGCTCATACGATTCATGCCCTTAACCTTATGAGCATGTGCAAGGAAACGGACATGCACGAGCATGTAGTGCACAACATGCTGAGTACATGTACATCACATGCCCCCTCTACTATCACAGAGCATTCTGCAGAGCACTCATCGCATACTTCCCTCTCCTTCGTCACTCATCTCCTTTACTTGCTTGACTGCAGGCCTCCAGCACGTACAGCGGCATCGGCATAGTGAAGCTGATGGGGCAGCACGGTGATGTCAAGCCAGATTCCATTGTCTCCCTCCCCTCCCCTCCCTCCCCTCCCCTCCCTCCCTTCCCCTCCCCTCCCTCCCCTCCCCTCCCTCCCCTCCCCTCCCTCCCCTCCCCTCCCTCCCCTCCCTCCCCTCCCTCCCCTCCCTCCCCTCCCCTCCCCTCCTTCCCCTCCCCTCCCCTCCCCTCCCCTCCCTCCCCTCCCCTCCCCTCCCTCCCCTTCCCTCCCTCCCCTCCCTCCCCTCCCTCCCCTCCCTCCCCTCCCCTCCCTCCCCTCCCTCCCTCCCCTCCCTCCCTCCCTCCCCTCCCTCCCCTCCCTCCCTCCCCTCCCTCCCCTCCCTCCCCTCCCCTCCCCTCCCTCCCCTCCCCCCCTCCCTCCCCTCCCCCCCTAACCCCCTTCCTCCTTGCTTGACTGCAGGCCTCCAGCGCGTACAGGGGAATCGGCATAGTAAAGCTGATGGGGCGGCAGAGTGGGTTCATCGCCATGCACTCGTCACTGGCCAGTGGGCAGGTGGACATGGCGCTCATACCCGAGGTGAGTCACAGCTGATCGACCGACACTGCTGGTACTGCTGGCACTGCTGCGCCCTTGCAGCGACTTGAGAGGTGCCTGGCCAAGGCTTGACCAGGATGTGCCTTCATCGCCATGCACTCGCCGCTGGCCAGTGGGCAGGTGGACATGGCGCTCATCCCCGAGGTGAGTGAAGCCCCTCGCTTCTCCTTCCTCGCTTCTTGTTCCTCCTCCCAGCGTGCCGTTGCAGCGTCCAGTCCAGTGCCTGTACACCCGTCATCACACCTCGTGCTGCCTCTTGCCCTTCCTATCCTCCATCCCACCCACTTCAATAATCCTCTCAGCTTTCTCTCCTGCATTCTCTCCTGCCTTTTCTCATCCCTCCTCTCCTCCCTCCTCTCCTCCCTCCTCTCCTGCATCCTGTCCTGCCTTCTCTCCTCCTCCCCTGCCTCCTCCCCTGCCTCCCCCCCCCCTGCCTCCTCCCCTGCCCTCCCCTGCCTCCTCTCCCCCCCTCCAGGTGCCCTTCTGCCTGGAGGGCCCCAATGGAGTGTTGCAGCACCAACCTTAAGGGCGCCTCAAACATCCTCTCTGCATTTTCTCCCCTTCCCCCTCCCCTGCCTCCTCTCCCCCCCTCCAGGTGCCCTTCTGCCTGGAGGGCCCCAATGGAGTGTTGCAGCACCAACCTTAAGGGTGCCTCAAACATCCTCTCTGCATTTTCTCCCCTTCCCCCTCCCCTGCCTCCTCTCCCCCCCTCCAGGTGCCCTTCTGCCTGGAGGGCCCCAACGGCGTGTTGCAGCACCTGGAGTATCTCCTGGACCGCCAGGGCCACGCCATCATCTGCGTGGCAGAGGGCGCAGGGCAGGTGAGGGGAGGGGGGGGAGGAGCCTGGGGGAAAGGAGTGGAGGGGAGGCGGCCAGGGATGGCGAGGGGAAGGGGGTTTGGGGGGGGGGAGGGAGGGGAGGAGTTAGAGGATCCAGCAGAACAGAAGGGGAGCGGCAGAGGGCACAGAGAACCTGCTGTCCCTTCTAAGAATTCTCATGAACGAGGAGTCTATTTTTGAGGCGCCTCAAAAATAGACTCCTCACCTAAGAATCCCCATGAACGGACTCACCCATCTTTGGAGTGCTTCCGCATTCCGTCGTTGCCAATGCGCCAATTTCCATACGTGTTTCCAGATCCTAGTGCAAGGAGAGTTCTGCTGAGAACTCTAAAAAACATTCCGCCATTATCAATGCGCCTATTTCCACATGTGTTTCCACGTGTTTCCAGGACCTAGTGCAAGGAGAGGGTGGCACAGATGCTTCGGGGAATCCAATCCTGTCCGACATTGGGGTCTTCCTCCTGAAGCAGGTGGGCTCTTAAGAATGTCTTACTCTTGAAACAGTGCTTCGCCTGAGGTGGGTCATCCCCTGCAGGTGGGTCATCCCCTGGAGGTGGGTCATCCCCTGGAGGTGGGTCATCCCCTGCAGGCGGGTCATCCCCTGCAGGTGGGTCATCCCCTGGAGGCGGCACATCCAGTGGGATGTGGCACATCACAGATTGGGAAGCATCCATCCATGGTGCGATAGTGCCGGAAGAATATGCGTTGTAACGTAAACAGCTTTCCCCCTTTCTCTTCTCAGGTGCGGCGTCACTTCAAGGCGATCGGACGGCCAGCCGACGTCAAGTACATCGATCCGACGTACATGATTCGCGCGTGCCGCGCGAACGCGTCGGACAGCGTGATGTGCGCCGTGCTCGGGCAGAACGCCGTTCACGGTGCGTTCGCCGGCTATAGCGGCATTACTGTTGGCCTAGTTAACTCGCACTACGCGTACATTCCGATCCCCGAGGTGATCCGGCACGCGCGGCCCGTCGATCCCAACGGTCGGATGTGGCACCGGTGCCTGACCGCCACGGGTCAACCTGACTTCATTCGCGTGCAACAATAATGTAACCCGCGAGGCAGGACATTATCCCAATATAAGAATGGTTCTTTTTAACATATATCATGCTATGTTTTAGAGAGGAGCAATTTATTCGTAGTCTTATATCATCCCATCCACCCACCACTTATACGAAGTAATTGTATGCAGAATTGCTCTATGTTCCCATATTGTTACGAAAAGGAAATCGTTACATTCTTGAAAGTGACACTCAAGCCGTAACCCTTGTCGAGTCCAAGCCTATGACGCGAGGTACGAAGTGCAACGGTCGTTGGCAGTTGACCGACAGTCGAACCGACAAAAGTTCAAGGGTTCGTCATGACAGCAAGGACACACAACTGACCATGTAATACAGCGCATGCAGTTACCCGAGTCGTGTGCAGTCAGATCTGGAACCTCATAGGGCATCTACGCCTATTAAGTGCATCTTAGTTAGACCCTTCACGTCCTCTTGTATCACTATATGATAATATAAACCAGCCCTATAGATTGGTTTGAGCGTACGCTGATGAGTCATCTTTGCCCCCCTGGTTTAGGCTGATCGCCCAGCCTCCAACCTAGCATAAAGGCTGGAAATTCAGCCTTGCATGGTTTTTTTTCTCCCTGTTGTTAGACTTTGCACGGGAAAAAAGGTTGCAGCCAATACTCAAGACTTGCACTTGGAAAGCAAGTTACAATTCCTCAGCACAACTAGGGCCAGCGTCATCATCCTTTACTGCATCTTCCATAACCAGGGGGGGCTCAAAAGCATCCTCTTCCATTGGCTCCTTCCCCTTTCTACTCTGCACAGTGGCCAGGGAGGTGGAGAATGGTCTCCTCTTCTTGTAGGCTTGCCAGATCTCGACCACATCATCCCAGTCCGGCGCATAGTCCAGCATCAACATGCACATTTATTCAGATAACCTAGCACCCTTAAGATTACCCCGTTGCCAGCTCTTGATGAGATTCAGTCGGGAGAACCCCGCTCACATTCTACAGTACTGAGCGGCAGAATTGCCACATCCACCTACAACCCCACCAGGTTGGGGTAATGGATCTGCTAGTCAGCGGTCTTGAGCACTGTCGTGAGAGCCGTGAAGAACCTCGTGTCCGCAGGGCTGAGACGGGCCAGCATGGGGATGATGTGTCACAGTTCCTTTTCCGCCCCTCTTTTGTCAACGCCTGCAACACATCAAACCAAGCAAACGGGGAAGGGAACACGGTTAACCAGGGTCAGATAAGAGGCTCAAGGTGGAGGGGACACATGCATTTACGATTCACGGTCCTGCCGGATTTCCGGCACCTGAAATGATCTCGGGGTTCTCCACAGTGCGGTAGAGTTTGATCAGCTGCCAGTACCACTCCAGACACTGCGCGTTCCTGATGCTGTACTCCCAGTTTGGCGGCCAGGCGTCAACAGAGAACAGTCGGCAGCCAGACAGCTGCTCCAGGTCTCCAAACCTCGACTCCAGGTGGCACACAGTCTCCTCCGCCATCTCCGTGCAGTCGTCCATGCAAGCATTGTGAGATCCCTTCCCGAGGTAGCCATCCAGCTCGGCGTAGTGTAGACTTACGGTGAAGGTTGTTGGCCGGCCGTCCGAATCCACCCCATCAACGGTGACGTGGCTGGAACCGCCAGGACCGTGACGGGTGATGGGTTGCACGAGCCGTTCCCTCGAGGACCCACCGAAGTCGTTGCCGCAGTCGACGTAGCGGCTCTCGATAATGCTCATCGTTGGACCGTGGCATAGTCCGCTGCCAAGAGAGGGGGTGGGATAGAGTGTTTAGAGAGAGAGAGAGAGAGAGAGAGAGAGAGAGAGAGAGAGAGAGAGAGAGAGAGAGAGAGAGAGAGAGAGAGAGAGAGAGAGAGAGAGAGTTTGTTTCGCAGTGAACACACAACCCTTGTTCGGACCAATTACCTCTCTCTGTTGGAAGATCTAGTTGAGGATGTTCAGCTGCTCAAGCAGGTCGGCAAGGAAATGAAGGTAAATCCAAAAGTGGTAACTCCTCACAATCGCCAACAACTTGGCGTTGCCCATCTCTGTCACCATGAAAACTTTAGCCAGAAGAACAGCAAGCAGCCTCAAGACAACCTTACCACGGGAGAGCCACCTAATGCCGTGTATCCCCTGCAGCTCTAGGTTGGTTGAGGAAAAATCGCCTTGCAGGTCCATGAAGTGCTGGTGCCAGGGACCAGACTGGCCAAGAAACTCTGCAATGCCCTTGATGAAGTCATCCACCATACCGAAGGCGGGGTTAGACTCTGCCGCTGCCTTTGCCGCCAAGACCTCCCTGCGTGTGTCCACAAAACAGTGTCAGCAAGTAAAAAATGGTGTAATCTGGGGTCAGAGTGTCATGCGCTCGTCACTTACCTGTGAGCGATGCAGTGACAGATGAGGTGTGGTATGCGCACCCTCAGTCAAACGACAACCCCTCCTCAAGAGCCGAGCAGGACAGCAGCCCCGTCGGTGCTAATGATGGCAATCTTCCCCAGGTCTACTCTAATAGCCAGGAGGTGGGACAAGAGTAAAGCGACAAGCGTCGCATTGTCAGCTCGTTAGATAGTCAGATGTGCAAGAAGCTCATTAGCCTGTCGCTTCTCGTGGATGAACGTGACAAACATGATCATGTGTTTGCCATGCCGGCGATCAGTGCTCTCATCTAGATGAAAGGGCTCGCTAGAAGATGCTCCAGCTGGGTTGTTTGCAGCTAGGTAGCCAGCGCCTGTGTGAGCTTCCCAAACCCGTACCTGCAACCAAACGAGTAACCAAACGCGTTAGCAACCAGATCCCGTATAGAACAGTACATAGAAACCAACAAAAACAAACGCTTACGAGTTGTAGTAAGTGTCGTATCCTTGCTCAGGGAAACACTTGAACTTGCGTTCCGACAAGTATCGAACGAGTCGGATCCATGTCTCCCTTGGCTCATTGCACCGACTGCTCAAGTAGAGCACGTCGAGCAGCGAAGTGACATGGAGCCTCTCGAGGTCTTGGGCGACTGAATGCTGGTCAATCCGTGGCTGGGTGGTCGCATCTTGCAGCAGGTTGACTTGCTTGCTGTACGCGAGCCGATGCCTGGTCGTACCAGCGTGCTTCTTGAAGGCCTGGACCTGGACGTCAGTCGCGCCAGTGCCCAGCCTGCCGGTCTTCCCCTTCAACCCTGCGTGTTTAGTACTGACAAAGCACTTAAACGCGGGCAACCCGCAATCAGTTTTCGTCAGCAGAAGCCATGGATACGTGTTGGACCACCATCGCTGAAACTTGTCAAGAGCGTCAGCATACAACTCTTCAGGAGTGAGACGCCTCTTCCCTAACTGCAGGTTGTTGGAGTTATCTGGTGTGTCATCGTCTGAATCCGAGTCCGATGCCTCAGGGTCCGGTTCCTTCGGGAGAGGGGCAAACAACAGTCGAATCTGCCGGTAGCGGCTGCCGACCTCGCAGGAGCGTCTGAAGGGCGAACAGGTAGGGGCGCCGAGTCACGAACAGAAGCCAAGCACACAGGAGACGAGGATGTGACGACAGGACGCGTACGCTGGACAACCGGGGGAGGCGTGGTTACTGGAGCATGCCTACTCGACGATGGTTCCGCTGGTCCGACAGGGACTCGAGCTGGGACGGGGATACTAGCCTACGATGATAGCAACATATCTGGCCGGTGCGAGCTTCTCTAGGCAAGTCGTCATCGTCGCCGATTCCGTTGTCAGCACCGCCAGGCCCAACCATGGTGGCGAGGGGAAAAGCGCGTGGAAAAAGCTGCAGAAACAACCACTGAGCGTACGTTCTTGAAGGGCATGCCCATGAAGAACGCGGTGCACCAACCCTGCCAACGATTCATGGCAAGGGGGGGGGGGGGTACTCCATCTCCATCATCTGTCAAGGCGCTCCAGTTGTGCAGCATTTCCAGACTTCCAATGCGCTGTATGTACAAGATTGGGTGTGGCATGCTCATTTTGGTCAGGCCGATCACACTACGTCGTTCACGGTGTGTTGGCGACAGCAGGGGAGGGGAATATGCGAGTCTGCTGCCGGGCCAGCACATCCCAAAACAAGCGTGATTGACGGGGGAAATGTAGTCAGACAACGGAATTTTCGGGGGGCCCTAGAATCACGCTGTACGCGGTTTCAAACTTACCCAGAAAATATACGCTGATGTTACAGAGGGAACCATACTCAAAACATTAAAATTACTGATATTGGCTTAAAAATAAAGATGATTTTTCAGCATTGACCAGCAAACAAAGCCCAGCCAAAAGGCCTTGTTACCAGGGAAATCTCTGAAAAAACGTTGAATCAGGGTAAAAAGTGAGATATTTAGGGGCTTGATATGAACCCTGTATTGTCTTGCTATAATCAAAATTGTTATGCTATATTCATTATGGCAAGGTTCATCAACCAATCAACCACTTCCGCAAAGCGCACTACCACAGTTCAATCGTGAACATCCTACTGACCATACCGTATACACCCCAATATAAGCGCAGCCATTTATTATCCATTAATTTCATTATAAGAGCACATTTTTTACTGGAGGATGCATTTATTATAAGCACATTACACTTGTAGACAAAACAAATTGGGCGAAACACGATTTTTTTTAATCGAAATGTCGTGCCATATCTCTAAGATACTCCGAAGATCCTCGCGAGACATGCGCGTAACTTGCACTCAGTCAATTCATTCGATTTCGGCTCTGATTAGCTAGATTCAAGAAAGGATTTTCTGGCGCGCATTCCCCAGCGCATTCTACAAAATCCATCAACACGACCTCCATATGATTTTGGCCCATTCGAAGTGAAATTCAAAGAGCTACATTTTGGTGCCTTCAAAACTTCTTTCCTTATGGTACCTTTATTAAGCCCATGTGCTTATAAAAACAATTCGATTAAAAATCCATGTGATTTTGCAAAGGGTTCCGTTATAAGCACATATGGGGCTATAATCGAGTGTATACGGTATTGGATCGCTTCACGGTAATCAGAGCCTATAAGGATTCTACGCACGACAATCTTAATCAGTTTCAAATTCAAATATCGCGGCGCCAGTGACTCACTCCCGCCACAGAATGGCCTAAGGCTCGGGATCACGAGAGCAAGGAAGCCCTCCTCCCGAAGCACCTGCAAGCACTCCAAATCCGGCGGCAACCACTCCCGTCCCCACAAGACTCCTCGAAAAATTGCTTCAACGAATGTCAACTCTTGAAGAGGGA